TTCCCTTTTCAACCCTTTTTCTCCTTTTCCCCTTCACCGTATTCCCACGTACGTAAACGATTAAAAAACCAAAACCAAACCAAACCCACACACACAAAAACCCACAAACCAAACCAAACACAATCCCCCCCCCAAACCAATACAAAAGCAGGAAATGCATGTGTGGCCATGCCTCACAAAATAGGTCGGATAATTGAAGGGAGTCCCGCCGACCGCTGTGGGAAGCTGAAAGTAGGCGACCGGATCTTGGCCGTCAACGGGTGCTCCATCACCAACAAGTCCCACTCAGACATCGTCAACCTCATTAAGGAAGCGGGAAACACCGTCACCCTGCGCATCATTCCAGGAGATGGTAAAGTATATGTTTCCTGCTGTCTTACCCTCTCCTTGGTTTTGTTCCTGAGCTTTTTTTGGATCCGTTGGAGCTGCGGAGTCATGGAGGGCTCGGCTTCCCGTCCCGCTGTGGGGATTAGCAGTGAGGGAGGTGGTTGGTTTTCCATGGCTTGAATTTTTGTTTTTATAGAAGTGGGAGATTTTTTTTAAAAGAGGGAGGTGCTGATTCTACATGAAAAAAAGAATATTCCCTTCTCTCATGTTCCTCCATGTACCTCCTTAAAAGAATCTGTACATTTGATGCCTGTCTCGGTGCACTTTGTTTTGGTTCTTAATTTAATAATGCAGCTTTAGAATATGTGGGAATCACTTGTTAATGTGTGGGATTCCTGAAGCTTTGTATGTACATAAGCAGGCTAGAGCGTAAAGAGATCACAGGAAGGGATAAACACTTTGTCATGCTTTAAGCTGTTTGAAAAGAAGATTTGTTTTTATTCTGGGTAAGTTGCTTTGGGAGCAAGCTCAGTACATTTTGAAATGAGTTTCTTAACTGACTGTAGCTCTGGAGCTGCTCTGTGCTTGCAGCTGATCATTGCAAGTGGTCCCCCAGACAGGATCTCACTTACAGATCAGAGGGAACATGCAGGATCCCTAATAACATCCTGACATTTGGTATTCATTTCAGGTCATTGAACTATTTAATAAAAATAAGGATCTGTGTTAAAGATCAGTTTCATTACACTGATCCCTATTGCTCTCTTTTAAGCTGAACCATGGGTATGACATTGATGGCTCAGATACAGTGTTAGTGAGCATTTTTTAGCATTGTAGAGGGCACTAGTTAAGTAGAGAAGGTGTGATTAAGTTTGAAAGAAAGGTTGAGAAAGCATGGCTGAATTGAACCAGGTGTCTACAAAGCAGAATTAAGAAGTTACATGATGTGATTTGCAGTGAGAAGCATTTGGTAGTTGCTAACGTGTGTACTTTGTAACCCTGAAATATGGATTTGGTTACCCCACAGAGCACAATTTTGCTGTTTAGTTGTAGGATAAAAATAGGCCAGGATGAGAAATTATCTAGTTATAAATTATTTCTGTTTAGGATTATCTGTTTTGCAGAAAGGCTTTATTTTCCTGCTGTTTAGTAGCTACCAGGTCAAATGGTATATGATCCTTTGCTGTTTCCAGCAAATTGAGTGTTCATGAATAATAAAATGGCTGTGAATTAGGCTAACATTTGAGCAGGGCTGTGAGTGCCAGTTTTGAAAGGTACACTGAGAGAACTGGTCATTACCTGTATTTTGGTATCTGATCAAAATGAAAGAAAGCGAATCTTTGAATAAAGAAACGAATAAATCTCTTTAAAAGACAAAAATAGCTAAGACATAAATACCTTCTGAATGGTTTAAGTTTTTTTTTTTTTTAAGAAGAATGTAGCCTCCTGCCATGAATGCTTAGCTAGTCTTATTTGTGCAAATATGCATACAAAATCCCATGTTAAATTGTTTAGGTCAGAAGGGAGATCTGTGCCTGAGACTGGCATCAGGTATTACTCGAAAAGGTGAAAAGCTGTCATTTAGGAAAGGAGTCACCTCTCTTCTCTCATAACAATGCAGGTCAGATTGCCAACTCTGCATAGAATGACCTGCATTTCATTTCTAAAACCCAGTAAGGCCAGACACTCAAAATTGCTGAGAGGCTCCGAAAAAAAAAGAGATTTAAGAAATTGGCCTCCCCATTGTTTTCTCTTTGCTGTCTTTGGATGCTTTTCTTAATTTGTTGCTTTCTGTTTGTTTTGTTTGTTTGTTTTGGGGTGCTTTTTGGGTTTATATAAATGGTCTAACATTGCTCTTAAAGGCTGGGGGGGAGGAAGAATAAATCAGAAACCATGCTTCTCAGATAAACATAACACTAAGGCTCATCAGAAGACTCACAATAAACTCACACTGCTAATCTCTTCTAACATTATTAAAACCACCAAGGGTTTCTGCTGTGTAATAAGTCTTGCATCTGGCTGCCAGTGACCACTGCAGGAGTGCATTTGCAATGCAGTAATGATGCTTTAACATGCTACCAGCTGATGCAAGGATACAGGGAGCTGAAAAATGACAAGCTTAGATTAAGCATTTAATTGAGGTCCGAGTATTCCAGGTCAGAACAGGGCAGTCAGTGAAATATTCAGGATTTAGAACATACAATTGTAATTCTTATAGATATGTTTTTCTCATATATTAGTGTTCTGTTCCAGTTTTGCATGATGACTGGCATGCATCCTGAAACTGTTTAAAACACTAGCAAAATTATGCACAACTCTTGAGTCATGGGATAGGGTGGGCTAAAGATAGATGCAGTACAGTGGCATGAAGATACATCTGGACCAAGATGTGTTGGTCCTCTACATGGTATTCTTAGTGTAACCTACCAAAGGGGTAGGAATCTTGCATTCTCTTTGAAGCCCATCTTCATCTGACCTCCACATATTTGTGGAGGTTGTCAGAGGCTTTTGTTCTGGATGAATACAGGACACTTAACTATGTTTTAGGGCCTTTTTATTTTGAAGACAAATTTCAGCATCATGTTATCTTCCCAAAATACACAGAATTATTTCTTAAAATCCAACAGTGTAACCACACATAGGGATGACTTGTCACACAAGCCAGCTGTAGCACATTGTGGTCATGTCTTTCCTGAGAGGTGCAGGCAGACTGAGGAGCCTCTCTTAACCTGCAGGCCACTAGGCACAAACCAGCTCTGGTTTGGAAGATGTTACAGCTGTATATGAGGGTCTGAGAGTTTGTTAACTTGGGCAGAGTAATGCAGGCAAAGGAGCTGTGTTCTTGATGCACCCATCTGCTAAAATGGTTCTTCCTTTTCCCTTTTCCTGAGTTTCCCTTGACATACACAGAAAGAAGTGAGCTTCACCTCATCTTCACATGTCCACAAGAGGTCTGTGAAAGAAAACAGGTTCCCAGGACAAAGTGAGCCTGTGCCTACCATCTATCCTTAATGCAGGCAAAAAACCTCCCTTTTCTGCAATTTTGTATTGCAGTTGGACTCTGTTTAATAATGGCTGATTTCTCCATAGTCAGTAAAATTAACTACCAAATGCCTGCAGCATAAGAGGCAAACAAGGGCAAGGTACACATTGCAATTTTTTGTTGGAGATCCAGGTGTCTGATGGTGGCTTATTTTTTTAAGTGGGATCAGAACTAGATAAATTCAGTCAAGAAACAAAGTGCATGACATTAATTTTAGGCAGAATTTTAAAAGGTTCTGGGTTAACTCTGGTCTTATTGAAGTCTTACTGAGCTCCAAGATGATAAGGGGACCATTTTGCCATGCCATGCTGTGAAGGACAACTGGATAGCTCTGTTTCAGTTGTGCCTGCAGCAACTCCCTTCCCAGTTTTGTGAAGCAATGGTGAGGACCTCTCCTGGAGCTACCTCCTGTGCTTAGAGAAATAGGGCATTTGTAAAGGCTGATGTTGAGCTGAGAGCCCTTCACCATGGCATAAATAGGGTTTTGTAGTTAATTTTCCTCTCTGTATCCTCTTGGTGAGCCCTTTTGTGAATGTGAATGGTAGCCTGAGCTGTTGGTGCCCTGGGAACAGGCAGTTCCACGTCCCTGCATGCAGCTTGGAGTGCTGTGGCAGTGGGTTGTATTTCAGAGATGGATCTGGGGAAGCTCGGGTTTTATCCACATTCAGTATCACCTTGTGAGGTATTAAATGAAAGCCACTTCTCAATCCTACTGAAGATTGCAGTTTCTGATGAAGGAAGCACTGATAAGCTTATAATCCATGGAATAGTTATTGCCTCTATAAAACTAATCCAGCTGACATTCCATATTTGGAGACTTTAATAATTGGAATTCATGTCATTAGACAACAGTTGAGTGGTCTTGGGTTTTTCTTGAGATTAATGAGAGTGCTGATGTATTTGGTCACTAACCCTTCCCCCTCCAGTTTGTGTATTTATGGTATCAACATATTATATTTAAATATAATATATTGTATAAATCACTATTTGTGATGGGTGGCTGTGGCAGTTTCTGGTGCTAATTAACTATGTAACTTTTGTTGTGGTGATGATGATTAAGCTAAAAATGATGCCTACACTAAAGACTTGATTATTTCAAGAGCGTAGGGTGCAGCAGCAGGAGCTGTGGGACAGTGTTTTTTGCTTGGTACAGGGTATTTAGAAGTTTTGTTCTTACAAAGAAGCAAAACAGTTTGCACAGAAATTTGGTACATCTGATGGCAAACACCAGGAAACAACTGAGCCAAGAGGGATATGTCACATTAAGTTTCAATGTGCAACTCAAATTTCTCTGCAAGCGAGGTGCTGTACATTTCATCTACACAATTACTGTGACTTAGCTTAGACTTGTTCCTGATAATTTTTGGATTTAAGAAATTTGAGCCCGTCCTGGGCTCTTTAAAAACAACACAAGGATGTTCTCCAGTAAAATGCCTGTGTAAAACTTTTATTTTATCAGTGAATAGCCAATAGTCCTCCTTCATAATGAAAAATAATTTATTTTGCAGAATCCTCCAATGCTACTTTATTGACCAATGCAGAAAAAATTGCTACAATTACAACCACACATACTCCTCAGCAAATACCCCAGGAGACCAGGTCAGATTGTTTTCCTTGAGGAGAACACGTTGACGTGCTCTCTCTTTGGTTGCTTCTTGATCATCTTCACATCCCATGAGCTGTATTTTTCCTCTCTCCCTCTTTCTGTCATCTATTACAGCAGGAACAACACCAAACCAAAGCAGGAATCTCAGTTTGATTTCAAACCACCCCAAGCAGCCCAGGTAAGGAGAACCTTTCTGATTGTTTTGTTTGCTCCAGACTTTTGCTTCCAATCTGCTTGAGGGCTATGTTCAAATATTTTCTTTGAAAATTCCTACTGGGAAACTGTTTCCCCTCAGCCTGCTTGCAGAAGAAAGAAGAATTTGCTGATTACTTTCTTAATGTATGTTTCTGGGTTTTTCAGCTGAGAAACAGTCCCAACACATTCTCATCAAGACTTTTAGGGAGAGGGGAAAAAAAAACTACAAACCAATACGTTTTCATTACAGTAATAATTTATTTGTTTGTTTATTTAATTGTATATTTCAAGGAGCCTGTTGAGAAAGTACTTTTGTGTGCAAATGATAAATTCAGAGAACAAAAATGAGAAAAGGTAAATAAGAAGCAATAGCTGGAGTGTTCCAGCTTTTGCAGATGGCATCTTATTAGAGAGATTATCTCACTGTAAACTTTCCTTGCCACTGGCCATTCCAGAAGTAACCTCTTCCATCAGGAATGTCAAAACATCCCTACGTTAGCAGCATTTGTGGCAAATAATGCACAAGCTTCTGAGCTTCTTGCAGAGGAATAGGTGAGGTGGTGACAAAAAGGAAAAGCCAGCACCATATCATAGCTTGTCCCAGGCTAAGGAAAGCCTGACAGTGGAAGTGAGGTTGTCCTGGCCTTCCTTTGCAGTTTGCAGAACACTAACCCCCTCCAGAAATGTTCCTTTCTGCCCTGAGCACAGGAGGTTTGTCTAACAGAGGTGCCTAAAAACACGTGGGATGTGGCCAAGTTCCTTCATCTAAACAGCCCTTTGCAGGCCACCACCAGAGCTCTGGATTGCAGGAGATCCTAGTCTGGGTGGGAATACTCAACTGATTTTCTCTTTTTTAATTATGAGTAACAAAAAAAATAACGCTGGTTGGTTGAATTATTTCAAAATGAGAGTAGAGCAGCATTTAACTTTCTGTTCTGTTGTGCCTATCTTCCCTCCAGCAGGACCAAGACTTTTACACTGTTGAGCTGGAAAGAGGAGCCAAAGGGTTTGGCTTTAGCCTGCGAGGTGGCCGGGAGTACAACATGGACCTGTACGTGCTGCGGTTAGCTGAGGATGGGCCAGCAGAGAGATGTGGGAAGATGAGGGTATGCACAAGCTGATTTTTAAAAAGCATGCTGCTTTGCAAGAAGCTGACTTCCCTGCCTCTCCCTCACAGGCACACCTTCTGCCCTGCCAGCAAAGAGGAAAATGAGTGTTAACTGAAAGGAGCAGTGGTTCCTATTTACTTCTGTTAGTGGCCTCTGTCACTCTCGGCATGCAGGCTGCAGCACTGGGTGTGCATTGGGGTATTTCACCCCCTTGCTCCAATGCAGCTTTCCAAAATCTAGTACATGATCTGACTTAAAGCCTAACAAAGATATGTGTAGCAATGAAAATGTAATAGCTGCAATCTCTCTCCAGCTCTTTCAAAGCTGCAGCTGTGAGTAGAGAACCAATGTGTTCCACTTATCCTCTCCCCTGCTGGTGGGCAGAGTGGGGAGAGTGTATATTGACCCACAGGTTGCAAAATTAGAATGTAGCTTTTTTTTTAGTGTTAACTTCACAAATCAGCTAAACAATAAACATACTAAGAGTGACATGTTCTTTAAAATGCCTGTGGAAAAATTAAATTGCCAAGTTTTCTGTAGTCCTTGCTCCCCTCTTAGAGAATGCATGATAACCAGGTATGTCTTTTTCTTCTCCAGGTATATCATGTGAAGGGTGTTTTAGAATTTCTTTTGTTAGGGGTAGATTTACTGGTTCAAAATTTTCTCTGATGAAAAGAAATCAATGCTGTCCTGTGGAAGCCAATGCTTTGACAAGCTCTTCCAAGCTGTTATCCTATCCTGATCAATTATTATATTTTAAAAAGCAGGTTTACTGGTTCATAGTAGGCATCTATATCCAAGCAAGAAATGGTATCCAAGCAAGAAATGGACCTCAAAAGGCTATTTGAACATCCCAGTTACATCAGAGTGTGAAACAAGAAAACACTTTAACCAAAAACTTTAAAAATAATTGAAATAGAATAAAATAACTCCAGTTCTAACACCGCTCTAGGTATTGAGCAATACAATCATCTAAGGTGGTTTTACAGACAGCAATGACATATTTTGATGCCTCAAGCTTTCCCTGTCATCTTCACGTCTCCTAGGCCCCTTCATAGTGGTTTTTGTAGACTCTCACTGGAAGAATCACAGAACCACAGAATCCTAGGGGTTGGAAGGGACCTCAAAAGACCATCCAGTCCAACCCCCCTGCCAGAGCAGGGGCACCCAGAGCACATCACACAGGAACGTGTCCAGGGGGGTTTGAAAGTCTCCAGAGAAGGAGACTCCCCAGCTTCTCTGGGCAGCCTGTCCCAGGGCTCTGTCACTCTCACAGGAAAGAAGTTCTTCCTGATATTCATAGGGAACCTCCTGTGCTCCAGTTTACACCCACTGTCCCTTGTCCTGTCACTGGACATTACTGAACAAAGCCTGGCTCTGGCCTCCTGACACTCACCCTTAAATGTATCTATAAACATTGATGAGGTGGCCCCTCAGTCTCCTCTTCTCCAAGCTCAAGAGACCCAGCTCCGTCAACCACTCCCTTAGTCATCTCTGTGGCTCTGCCCTGGACTCTTTCAAGCAGTTCCCTGTGTTTCTGGAACTGTGGGGCCCAGAACTGGACACAATATTCCAGATGCAGCCTCACCAAGGCAGAATAGAGGGGGAGGAGAACCTCTCTTGACCTACTAATCACACCCCTTCTAACACACCCCAGGATGCCATTGGCCTTCTTGGCCACAAAAGCACAGTGCTGGCTCATGGCCATCCTTCTGTCCCCTGAGCTCTAGGGTGGCATTACACTGGAGTAACCCCAGTCTGCTCACGATCTAACCAACCTCCTGATGAGAAGCAAGTTTTTAGTGAATCCAGACATATTTAGTTCTTCCTCTATCCTTGCTGTGGCTGTAGCCTCGTGGCATTCTGGTGGTGACCCTCATGGAGGCTTGTTTCTAATCTTAGACTCTTTTCTTGCATTGACAGATCGGTGATGAAATCTTAGAGATCAATGGAGAAACTACAAAGAACATGAAGCACGCTCGGGCCATCGAACTGATTAAAAACGGTGGCCGCAGGGTCCGCCTGTTTCTGAAACGTGGAGATGGCTCTGTCCCAGAATATGGTGGGTCAAACTATGAAAACATTCCTTTCTTCCCTGGCATCACTCCATGAATGATTTGTCTCAAGATCTGAAGCGGGAATTCTTTTTTATTTTCCTTTCTCACCAGTGTCTTACCAACCTTTGCAACACATGGTTAATTGCCTCGCTTGTGCTGAATTTTCTACACATTTCATCCTTTGCTTGCTTCCATGGACTTGGGGCGCAGTGTAAGGCAAGATCATCATAGCAGTATTTTTGGTGATCAGAGAGGAAAACAAAACAAAACAAACCTTATTCTCTTGTCCAGCCAAACAAGGAATGTCGTTGAACTGTGCCAAACTGTTTCTCAGTGGCTGAATTGTTGTTTCAAATAGGTCTCTACTTCTAATCAATGCAAAAACTGGCATCCTGAGTTACTATTCTGAAGCAGTGATTTTTTTTTTGGTTAGTTTTTTCTCTTAGTTCCTGCCTGTATCCATAGACATGAATGCCCAAATGGCTTATGAGATTTTTGCCTTCCCTTAATATTTATGTAAATATTTATAAAGTTATTTAAGAAAAAGAAAAAAAAATATTTACTGCAAAAAATATATTTATTTGGCCTCCTGAGCCCTTTTCATCCCACTTAAACTTTCTGCTGGTTTCAACTAGTTAATTTGTAAGGTCTGAAAAGGTGAGGAGGTTACGAAAAGGTGCTCTCATGTCTGTCTTGGGGGAAACATTCAGTCCTTGTTTCTCACTAAGAATTGCATTAGATTTCCTTTTCTTCCCCTGGAGGTTGGATTGCAGGGTGGCTTAACTTAGCACACTATTTAATATTATAATTATGTCTTATTTATTTGAGATAATTGTCAAATATTGTGCCCTCGATGGAGGGCTACTCCCAACCAAAGGTCTCTGAGGTTTCTATAGAAACTGATAATTGAAGGGATGTCCTTTATACTTTTCTCCCCGTATTTGGGTTATTTCTGTCAGTAAGTTCTGTGTTTATCATTCACTCCGTGTCCTAAAATCAGAAACAAAACCCTCCTGCACAATTTATGAACCAGGTTTTCTTTTCATTTACTGTACCAGGTTTGAGAGTTTCTGCTCGCTCTGCTTGTTATTTAATTTAAAATTACCTTAAAATTCAGAGTATAACCAACAAACAATTGAAGTGTTTAACAACATGAGAGGGAAATTGTGGGTTTACACTTCTGTAATATAAATAGCACACCAGAAGGTTCAATGATGGCACTGAAATTCTGTAATGTTCTTTCTACCTTTGTCTTTTCCTATACTCCTCTGGATGTACAGTACTGTATCATATGCTAGACTGCATAAATACCCTGTAAATTAAGTGCTTCACTTCTCAAAGCATATGTCTGTTGCACTGAGGATGGAAATCCACCACCAATTTTCTTTTGGCTAATGCTAAACCACTAAACATTCATTCTCCAAGCAAGGATTTAATATACAGGGGTTGCACTACTGTAAAGAATATCCTTGTAACATTTGGGACTCCTTCCTCTCTTCATTCTGTTCGCTGCAGTCGCAAATGGTTCCTCTAATAATGTTAAGTTCCAATATTTTTCTGACTCGATTGGAACGTGCTTCTCTATGAGGCTGTATATTTTTGTAATGAGTTTTGTACTTATTTTTAATGTTGTGGTCTCTGGTGGACTTTATTTTTTGTTGTTGTTTGATTGTTAATGTTTTTTCTATGACATTCTGTGTCGCTGTTCCAGCTGTCTTTTAGAATGGATGCTCTCGTTGTCTGGGTTATTGAATCACCTCTTAGATGTCTCTTTATGTCACTATAATAACAACTGCTGTCTTTGCAGCCTTATATTTGGGTGAAGCCTAGACAATCTGGAAAAATAAACTTTCTTTATTCTAAGATAAAATATGAAGATTTTTCTTTCTTTCCTCTTTATTATAGGGAATCTAAATTTTCTGCTTTTCTCTTTCTCTTTCTCTTACTTTTCTTGGTGCTGGGCTCTTCCTTCCTCAGCGATGATACCTCCTAATATCGCTGCATGTATGAGAAATGACAAGCTCGGGGAGTCTTGCTTCTACCTTATGGGCCATAATCAAACTACGGTTTGTAGCTAAAATCAATATTAGGTGTTTTTGTGCTGTGGCCTAATTCCCTCACATTGCTTTCCGCTTCGCTATATTTTATATGTCCAGCAATTCATTCCGAGCACCCTGCGTCCCCTGAATTGTAAGTACACCACAGGACACCTTTAAACCTTGCTTGTACCTTGTGTGATAGCCAGGTGGCCCCAAGCCACGTGCTTACAGCTATGGAAAAGCAGTGTGGTCCCCAGCTGCTGCCTGAAAATGCTAATAAAAATGCCCACACATGAGTCGCAACGTGGGGTTCACCTGAAAGCCACAAAAATCACGGCCCGTGCACATGCCGACCTCCTCAAGCTAAGGAACGGAAATGCCATCCGATGAGAGGCACTTTGCGTGATGGCAGGAGGAATGAGGATGGTAGACTGTTTGGCTGGGGGGAGGGAAGATCAAAAGAAGAAAAACGGGGGAAAAAATCTGTCCCCACAAGTGTTTGTGAGGGTCTTCAGGAGAGTCCACCTCGAGGTGGGTGTCTCGGAGCGAGCAGTAGGAAGCCTGCAGGAAGCGTAGCTGACGCCAGCTGAGCTGCCCGCACAAGTTACTTTTAAGAAGTAAACAATAAGCAAATAAAAGCAACGCTCACATTAAGTCAGCACAGCTACTTTAATGTCTGACATGTCTATAATTAATCATTCATAAACATCCGTTACAAATGAGTAATTGTAGCTTAGCTACAGCACGGGGTTGTTTTTTAGTTTTGGGACTGGTTCTTCTGCTTTGCAGTTTGTCTCATAGAGGTAGCTTGGCTGTATTTTACCTGAAATACTACCTCAAAAATAATGAATTGAAGATTAGGTTTTAATCAAAACCATATTATAATATCATATTTATACATATTATAATACCCTTCCATTGCTTTGATATTAAAAAATATATATATATCATAACTTCTGTCATCGTTGTTCGAATCATTGTGGCAAAACCAAAATCTACCCTAGGACTTTTCATAACGTGGTGGAACTGAGATTAAGTAACGTCTTAATAAATGGAAATTGCATGATTACAGTCTGATTCTCACACCTTCAAAATGTTATTTTATGAGGTGAAAACTTAATAATCAATTCTATTTTCTATGCATTTTCTGCTATTTGAAACAAGGCCTCCCACACTTGGCAGGCAGTTCTTTCAAAAGATCCCAAAGAAAAATATTCTTTCCTAAAAAGCCCCTTTATTGGAAACTTCAAAAAACAGCCAACAACCTGAACTACAATATTTTTTTCCCCCCACTGGAAAGAAAATAGTATAACCCAAACATGATGAATTGGGCTTGGGGGAAATGTAAAATGCCCCATGACAAGAGGAGCGTAAAGATCATATCCACTTGGACCAAAACACGGCTAATGACCAGAGCAACACCAGTACTAACCCCTAACTCTCGTTGTTGACAGTTAAATTAACCAAATGCTTCAGTTAGGCTTCACTGACTGCTTTACCACTTGTTTGTTTTTGTCACTAATGAAGTCTGAAGAGTGCTAAGTGGTGTCACGGCGCCGCGGAAGGCATCGGTACCAAACGCTTTGCTGTTATTTTCTTTCAGACCCCAGCAGTGACAGGAACAGTCCCGCCACAGGTTCACAAAATGTATCGGAAATGAAACCCGCACCATCCGACCGACGGCAGCACCCATCATCGGAGTCCAGTTATCCACCAGACCTTCACAAATCATCACAACATGGGGACAAGCGGACTTACGTTAGAGACCTAAAAGGCAGCAGAGAGTTTAGCAGACATCCCAACGAACACCACACTTGGAACGGGACTTCTAAAACCAACGACCACGTGCCAGGCAGGAGGACGGAGAGGTCGCCGGAGAAGAGGCGAGAGAGGCAGCTGGAGAGGGCGGTGGTGGTGAACGGGCAGAAGAGGAGGTCTCCCGAAAAGCGGCGGGAAGGGACCAGGAGCGCTGACAACACCTTGGAGAGGCGGGAACGGCACGAGAGGAGGAGAGACCTCTCCCCCGAGAGGCGCAGGGAGCGCTCGCCCAGCCGCCGCCGGCGGTCGCTGGAGAGACTGATGGAGCCCCGGGGGGGAGGCGGGAGCCGAGCCGCAGGCCCGAGCAGCAGCAGCAGCGCAGGCGGCCGTACAAGGAGTGCAGCACCGACCTCAGCATCTGAGGGGTTCCCCCCACCTTCCCCCCGCCACGTGAGCTGAAACCATCCGGCTTTCGCAGGCGGGGAGACAGCTGGCACCTGCTGATCCTACAAACCTTTTATGCAGATGAAATCTTAGAACAAACAGAGAAACAAACAAAAACAAAAAAAGTGTTGTGCCTGATGTATAATATTAAAGAAAGTATTTTTCAGTGTATTTTTTTTTTTTTTTTAATTACTTGCCAAATGTTGGTCCTAAAGGATTATAAAATTTTGTTTCTACATTCTTTGTAGATTTCTTAAAAATAATTCCTTTAATGGGCTACTTCCCCCCCCCTCCCCAATGTAGTAAATGGGGGTAGCCAGTAATATAATATAGGCAAAGGATTTTATGACCAAGTTTGAATAATTTGATCCAGACTGTTCTCTAGTGACTCACTGCTACACTGTATGTAGAACATTTTTTAAGGGTTGGGGGTGGGGTAGGAAGAAAATGGTTCATCTCAGTAGGGGTGGAGCGCTCCTG